CAATTTTCGGTATTGGATGCGCACTGCTGATGAGTCCCAAATATAGGACGAAACGGCCATCTAGTGCTTTCTGCATTCTGTTGAGTTTTCTTCTCGACTCGATGAATTACTTAATTATATATATATATATATATATATATATATATATTAATATTTATTTCTCTCTCTCTCTCTATATATATATATATATAATAAAAAGGCTTAAACACTAATATTCCATGGTCATAATTTATTCCATTGCAATCTTAAATACGATCCAATTCATCAGACCTAGGTCTGATGAATTGGATCGTATTTAAAAATGTTTAAGTCTTTTTATTATATCCTTACTCTGTCCTGGACATTGAGTTCTACCTGGATTCTTCCTCTTGGAATTTTTATTCGAAAAATATACATTTATGGGTATTTATATATTTTGCATATGTATGTATATTTACCACTAATATTATCTATCTATCTATCTATCTATCTATCTATCTATCTATATATATATATATATATATATATATATATATAGATAGATATAGATATATATATGAAGAAATATAGTTTTAAGGTGTGCTATATTTATGGGATAAAGTGCTCAGTATCAGAGATGAAACAGCTTGTCGCCTCTGAGTGTTGACGTCAATGTTCATTTATATATATGTGTGTGTGTGGTATTATTGGAAAGTGCTCAATGTACGTGTAGAGCTATGCGGTGCGCATGGATAGTAGTTTGTAGCTCCGGGTTTCACGCTTTCGCGATCTTCAGAGAAACTGGTTTACTATTTCAAAAGTGGATCTATTTATACTTTACTTGCGTTTGATTATTTGTGTGGTGTAGGGGGGAAATTTTCTTCTGTGTTTGTTTAAGAAGAGAGTCACATATACATACTAACATGCATACGTCTCTCTCCTCCCCTCTCTCTCTCTCTCTCTCTCTCTATATATATATATATATATATATATATATATATGTCTCCCTGCATGTGTATATTCAAAGTTATTGTTCACCTCTGCTGTAGCCAGATATTGAACTCGCAACTCTTTGGTTTAAGTCACTGAATTAAAGCAACGCTTTCATCCATTGGGTCTTGTGTCCAGAAGTGAACAAAAAAATTGGAACATTGAGTTAAACTGGAATAACTGATACTGAGATATTCGTAAGAGGCATGGCACGTGAAACTAGAACAATCAAGACTGGCGGATGAAATAAAGGTTTCATTTCGAAATACCAATCACATGAAGAAGGCCGGAGCGTACAACGCCGAAACGGCATGAATATGGAAACGAAAATGAGGAAAAAAGGCCGAACAATGTAAATAGTGTAAATAATTACAATACCTCGTCTCAGAAATATAGGCAGATCCTGAAGAAGGCCGGAGCGTACAACAGCCGAAACGGATGAACGTGACAGCTAAGATGAGGACAACAATGTAAATAGTGTAAATAATTACAATACCTCATCTCAGAAAATAGGCAGATCCTGATGAAGGCCAGGCGTGGAGCGTCCGAAACGGCGTTAATATGGCAGCGAAGATGAGGACAAGAATGTAAATAGTGTAAATAATTACAATACCTCATCTCAGAAATATAGGCAGATCCTGAAGAAGGCTGGGGCGTACAGCAGCCGAAACGGCGTTAATATGGCAGCGAAGATGAGGACAACAGTCCGAACAATGTAAACAGTCTAAATAATGAAATACCTCATACATATATTCTTTAGTTCTACCCACATTACCCCCACAGCTTAGACTCACCATGCCGCATACACTGAGAATAAACCACCCTTTTTCCGTTCGTGTTTCAATTGTTAGGAATAATTTCCATTCTTACGAACCGCTACTTGCCTCTTACATCTTACTCTTTCCACTCACATATTATTAAGATAACTCTATCTTAAGTGGCTTTGGGGACTTTTATGCAGTAACAATGTGTTTATTTAAGGCAACTTAAGTTGGCAAATGTGGAGAGCTGTGACCGGCAACTTCTTAAATATGACATGAAACGTACAATAGTGATATATATATGATTTACTCTTTGTATTGACAGGTAGAAATATTGTTGAATAACGAAATAAATACTGAGAGAAGCCTCAGAGAATAAGAACGTTGAAAGAATGCGAATATATGTTATACTCAGATAAATCGGTCAGCAGACTAAGTAGTAACATCAATAGCTCGCGGAGGCCATTAATAAGAAAATACCATGCGAGTGGGGGCGGAGATGGTAATTCCAAAGACATGACCCAGGAGATGGGAGAACGTGCAAAGCTCGACTGTGTGGTGGCGGCGAGTATGGAGGAGATCAGAGTCGATATCAGGAGGAGACAATCCCAAGAACACGGAGACGCAGGCACCAGACAAGACGTATTTGAGAACGGATGCACCTGTTACCCGAGAAAAAGTTTCACATACATCCAAATGGCAGCCGAAGAAAGCCGAAAGGTAGACAACCGAATTTTCTTTATGAGACGAAAAAAATTAGAATCCGTTACAATCATCTCTGCCTGTCCCTCCTTGACATACTCCTTCAAGACATGAGCAACAACAGCTCTCCACAACGTGTTGTTTTTTTTATGTTACTCTAAGTATTACTTCCTCCTTTTATAGGCTTTGAACCACATTGAGGCCACACGAAATTCTTAAAGCATAGTGGCTTAAAAAAGTTCAAAAAGCTATTTGCTTGTTAACAGAAACAACGAAAAATAATGAAATGTTATGTAACATCGGTCTTCCTATATGGCAGTGAGTGCTGGAAAAAACTCCTCACAGATGAAGAATGGGCAATATTTACATTATATAGACCGATACTGAGGAAGAATTGACTTGAAGAGACGAAGAAAGAAAAGAGTACTGAACTTATAAGTGATATCAATCCTCCTATATGACAGTAAATGCTGGACAATCTCCTCACAGATGAAGAAAACACTTGAAGCAAAACAAAACAAATCAAAGACTACTGAACTGTCATGTAATATCGGTTATCCTATATGACATGGAAAGCTGGACAATCTCTTCACAGATGAAGAAGCGGCTTGACAGAACAAAGCAAAGATTACTGAACTGTTATGTAATATCGGTTATCCTATATGGCATGGAATTCTGGACAATCTCCATACAGAAGAAGAGGAGAGTTGAAAAAATAGTAACAAAGAAAAGAGTAGTGAACCTTTCTATAATATCAATACTCTTATATGGCAGTGAATGCTGGACAATCTGTTCACGAATGAAGAAGAGCCTTGAAGCAATCGAAACAAAGCAAAGACTACTGAAGTGTTATGTAATATCGGTCATTCTATATGGCATGGAATGCTGGACAATCTCTTCACAGATGAAGAAGGGACTTGAAATGACAGAACAAAGCAAAGTCTACTGAACTGTTATGTAATATCAGTCCTCTCATAAGGCAATGAATCCTGGACAATCTCCTCACAGATGAAGAGGAGACTTGAAGCAATCGAAACAAAGCAAAGACTACTGACCTCTTATGCAATATCAGTCCTACAATATGACAGTGAATGCTTGGCAATCTCCACATAAATGAAGAGGAGACGCGTGACTAACAGAAAAGTGGTTCTAATAAAGAATGCTCAGAACATCATGGACTGAAAATGCTAACAACGAAGACGGTGTACGGAAAAGGGAAACGAAATTGATATTTATACTTTGCATCAGAAAAAGACATGTATTTTCAAGAGAATTTAAGCATATTGAACTCACACTCTAGGACACATGGCGCAGTGGATAAAGGCGTTGGTTAGATTCAGTGACAGGGCCCAAAGAATGTGAGTTCAATACCCGGTTAAGGCAGTGCAGAACTTTCAGAGGGTAATTAACAGGAGATAACTGATAACTGACATCCATTAAAACATGACACGTGGAACTAGAACAGTCTAACCCAGTGAGCGAAATAAAGGGTTCAGTTCGGCATTCCAACCACCTGAAGAAGGCCGGAGCGTACAACGGCAGAAACGTTGTAATAAATATGGCGAAAAATATGAGGATGATAGTCCGATATAATGAAAATAGAGCTCTCCACTGTCTATCGCGGCAGAAGGGCATCAAATACACGATTCCTCGATTGCTTGAAAAAAATCCTTTGTTGCCTGTCACATAAACCATTGCCAATGGTCAACCCAGGCTGAGAACCGTGACGCTTGGCATCTCACCACCAACAATGCTGTCTTTTTCTTTGAAAATACCTGCAGGGTCGCTCTCAGGGACAACAGGCAGAGGAGGAAGCACTGCACTGCTATGCCATCGAGCCCGGGACAGACTTTTAGCTGTAACTGCTGCGACCGAGTATGCCTGTCCCGCATTGTACTTATCAGTCACAAACATGTCTACAAGCGACATGTAAAGACTCCCTCGTGATCTTCATTTTGCAAAGCCAAGCCATGATGATGGTGATTTCCTTTATAGTGCTGATTTTAGATAAATGTTCTTAGTAGCATATTTAGCTTGTATTTTTGTCTGTTTTTCCTAAAGGCTTCTTCTGAAACGACGACCGAAAGAAAGCGTCTTTGGAACTCAGCTATCTGATTAATAATTGCGCGTCGTTATCAATTCCATAAAACGGAATCCTTTCATTAAAATATCCTTTAAAAGATGGAATGTTGATATTTTGAGCGAGAACAGAACCTTAAGTTTTTCAAATATAATTTCTTATTGTCTCATTATTACGGGCATATCACGTTGAAACAAAGCTAAGCAACGTCCTGCCTATTCAGTACCTAGATGGGTGATCGCTTGCGACTAGCATCTACTGTAACCTTGGGTGTGTGGTTCGCGTAACGGCCACATGACATTGAAACATCGGGCCCTGTGGTATCACTAAAGTTAAGCAACGTTGACTGAGCCTCTTAGTGACTAGTTGCATGACCGGTTCAGAATGAAGGTGGTCTAAGCTTAGATGGTGCAAATGATGTCACATATAACGGCTCGGGATGAGAAATCAAAGAGCCGAGTTCGAATTCCAGTCGAGTTCGTCACGTGCATGTACTCATTGGAAAGGCTTACAGCCATGCCATGTTGAAACCCCGGTTCCCGTACAATCATCCAAGTTAAGCAACGTCAAGCCTATTCAGTACAAAGTTGGGTGATCGCTTCGGAATAGCAGGTACTTGGATGTGCGGTTGGCTTAATGGGATTACGGCCACATCAAGTTTAAATATCGGTCCCTGTGGGATTACCAAAGTTAAGCAACGTACAGCGTGGTCAGTACAATGATATGTGATCGACTGGGAATACCAGATACTGTAAGCTTGGATGTGCGGTTGGTGTAATGGGCTTACGGCGACTCTACGTGGAAACATCGTTCCCCATCGGAGCTCCAAAGTTAAGCAACGTGGAGCGTGGTCAGTACCTAGATAGGTGAACTCCTGGGAATCCCAGGTGCTGTAAACTTGGATATTCGGTTATATTATGGCTATATCACGTTCAGACACCAGTTCCTTTACGGTCATCGAGGCTAAACACCGTTGTGACCACTTGGAAATAAACGGTGTTGTAAGCTTTGATCTGTGGGTGGTGTAATGGGCTTAAGGCTACATCACGTTGGAACACTGATTCCCATACGATTACCGAAGTTAAGAAACGCCGTGCCTGGTCTTTATCTAGATGGTGACCTCTTGCGAGTACCAGATACTGTAAGCTTGGATGTGCGGGTGGTGTAATAGATAACGGTTCGCAATTGTTAATCAGATAGCCGAGTTCCAATTCCAGTTGGGTTCGTTATATTTAGTTACGCGCAAATACCTTTGGGAAACTTATGTATCCACCCCTTCTTTCCGCAGTTATGGGTAAATAAGATTTGTGTTGTATAAGCGTAAATGTCGTTGCCGACACTGTAGTTTGAAACCAGATCGCCAGTGAGTAACACGGGCGAGCCTATTATTAAGTAGATCACGTGATCATAAAGGAAGTGAATAAATATGAAGTAGCGTGATGACTATACGATCACTGATCACTCCTCTTGTCTATTCACTATTGCTATACGTTCTTGACTTGACTTGACTTGTATCTGTTTTCACCCTGGTCGGGTTGAACCGGCTTCCTCCCGAGCAAGTACAGCATCACGGACCATCGCTGCCCACGCTTGCCGATCCTGAGCCAGGTCAGACGAAATGGCGAGCCAATCTCGATTCCATCGTCGAAGACCAACTACTTGTGAACCCGATAGTACTGCTAGGTCATCCTTGATTGTGCTAGCCCACATCCTCAGCTGCCCACAGACACGTTTTCGCCAGCCAGGAAGAGAAGGAGGGAGAAGTAGATCGCGGATGAGCTCTCCCTCCGGGCGTCGAGCTGCGTGCCCGAACCATCGGAGACGACGCTGGAGCAGGACGGGCGGAAGAGGACGGAGACTCAGGCGACGACGTAGAGTGGCTGTGGGCACACGATCGATTCGGCGGCATCGTAGAATGCAGCGAAGGCAATCGTTGTCGAACACTTCAAGCCTTCGTAGGTCCACCACTCTAATTGGCCACGTTTCGCAGCCATAGAGAAGTATAGTCCGAACAATAGCCTGATAGATGCGCACCTTCGTAGCCGTGGAAATCTCCCGTCGCCCCCATAGTGACCGCTTGAGACGCACGGATGCGGACCTTATTATACGGCGTTTAACCTCAGCAGCAGCCTGCCCGGATGGTATAATGGTTGAACCGAGATAGACGAAAGACTGCACGCCCTCCAGATTGACCCCATCCAGCGTTAGTGGCTGCCAGTTGACTGGATCAACCAGGGACGGTATAGCTTTGGTCTTCGAGGCATTGATGGTCATACCCACATCCCATGCTGCAGCTTGCACACAGTTGAGCGCAGCTTGCACACAGTTGAGCGCAGCTTGCACATCGTCACAGTTCGATCCGACCAAGGCAATGTCGTCCGCGTAGGCCAGATCAGACACCCTGACATTCCGACCAACCGAAACTCCAGCGTCGTCCCGAAGGGCCTTGCCGAGGATGTAGTCGATACATTCACTCTCTCTACTCTACTACTATGCAGATTACGATTCTCTTCTGATCTTTATACTATTTGGCGATTACTACTTGAACAAGTATTACTAGAGAGGATATTATTGGAAGGCGTTACTAGTAGTACCGGCGTCTACGAAATCTTGAATGTAACGATTATTTTTTGAAGTAATAACGAGATTTCCCTTGACATAACAAAAGTGACAAGCGAAACCGTCCAACATCCCCAAAATTTGCATCAGTAAAACTATTATTACCTACAAAATAAAAATAAAAAAATTCGTTCAAAATATTTAATTTTTGGCATTAACTAATCCATATAGGTTAATATGCTGCTAAACAAAAACAACTAATCATCAGACATTTTGAAACGTTCTCAATCAATCTCTTCTCTCGCTAGCTATGGGTTAAATAGCAGGACAAACTGAGTTCTGCAGCCTTGATTGGCAACCAGTCTACAGCAGTAAGTAACGGCAGTTTACTGTGGAAATTCTTCTGTCACGTTCTTGAATCGGAAAGAGGCATGATAACCCAACCGCGCATCACTTATGGCACCTAAGGAAGGAAATATTGCTTTATATATTCATTTTGGAAGAGGAATGATGTCATCCAATAACCAGTGTAAGCAGGATAAAGCATTATGAAAGCGGAATTTTCTTTAGAAACAAAGCAAAGGGCGCTGAACTGCTATGTAATATCAGTCTTTTTAGGCGGTAGTCAATGCTGGGCAATTTCCGCACAGATGAAGAAGTGACATGAAGCAGCAGAAATGTGATTCTACAGAATATCATAGACTGAACATGTGAGTAACGAGGAAGATTTATTAAAACTGCGATCGGAAAGGGCAATTCAAATGAGATAGAGGCAGCTGAAATTCAGCAACTCCACAGGCATCCGAATTGAGGAAACTTGGTCTACATGACACGAGGAACGTCATATGGATTGTAGGCAAGCAATCTGTGTTATGAGTGTTGTGCAGCTAGTCCCGACGAAAATGCTTTTCAGCAGAAAAGAACCAGATTGCCCTTGGTTCAACAAGTTGTTCCCCCTTATAAATTTCTTTGCTTTTGTCAGACGAATTTCTCGTGCCTTTTCTGTAAGAAATTAACCATTACACATCTTATACGATTGATCTGCATTCGCGATCATGTTCATAGGGGAAATTGCAACACCCATTTCCAAAGCCCGCATTCGATTGCCTGGGTCTTCCATCACTTACTCCTGTAGTTCTTGAATGAATTTTGGTGTACGATGGCAATCAGAACGTAATTCCCGCAAACCACGGCCACTTAGTATCCGTTGCAAGTCTCCATTTCCAATCTTATTGTGTTCGTGGAGTTCAAAGAGCATTGTGACGCTGTCATGATTGCGGCATTTTTATGCCTTGTACGAATCACCATGATGAAGATTACCCTTGTCCAAAATTTCGGAAGCTTCCATGTGTCAGTTAACTTTGACCCCTCTAAAACAATAGTGATTAGGTTTCACTATCTGAAATAATAAAAACAGTAGTATGTTCAATATTCAAATCAACGGAAAGAGCTAATTACCAAATGTAGACATAAGAACAAATTCAAAATTACACAATAATATATGTATATATAGGGGCGTGTATGTGCGTATGATTACTTATATACATGTATGTGGGTACACATAAGTGTATACATGTGTAAACGCAAAGACATGTAGTGATTAGGTTTCACTATCTGAAATAATAAAAAACAGTAGTATCTGTTAGTATCTGTTAGAATCTAATAGTATGTTACTATTCAATACACATACACCCACCTAGCATGTGGGTGTATGTGTATTGAATAGTATGATCTATTTCATTAAATGTCCCGGTATTAGCCACAATTTATGAATCTATCATTCAATTAATTTACCTAAATTAAATTTGTCTTAAGGTTAAATTCCCCATAACTTATTAATAACATTAGACCCTTATGGTCTAAATACTATTTACCGTAAGTCTTCGGAAACCCCCCCCACACACACACACACACACTTGTGGCTAGAATACGAAACCTCGCATAGTAGTAAGTGAAATTTAGTTACAGACAACGAAAGACTTTAGCCATGAATACACTCCAACCCCGGACTACTTTTCCCGTAATGAGATACCTCAGCCCCCACCCAGTCAACAACACAAGCCCGTTATCATTAAGAAGGCATCTCTCGGAGGGGAACTGATATTGAGAATAAATTTTAATCCCTCCCTTACAGACAAACACTTAAGGGCTGAAGACGCCTGAGTTCAGATCAGCCCGAAATAGACTATTCTCATGCTGAGGTAATTATATTTTTTACCATATATATATATATATATATATATATATATATATATATATATATATATATATATATATGAAGAAGTATAGTCTTAAGATGTGCCATATTTATGGGATAAAATGCTCAATATCAGAGTTAGAGCTTGTGTAAATATAAAAGTGAACATAGAAGTCAACACTTAGAGGCAACAGTCTGTTTCATGCTAGACGCAATCGTCAGCCATATATATATATATATATATATATATATTGTTGGGGCGCACCCACCTTCTAACTAGTAATGGACTGGTCCCTCTTATATAAGTCAGCTCTGGAGAGAGAGTGACAGAGCGTCAGAGAGAGAGAGTCAGGGTGAGCAGTCCAGATAAGCTTACCCGTTACATACCGTTGGACTATAGACTTTGGATATTGTTTCGTACTAACCAACCTTCGTTCTACTAATCACTCTATTGTTAATTGCTTTTATGAATATACCAGTATTTTCCTCTACAACTGTGTTTGTCTTGATTCATACACCGACACGCGGGGAACTCACAACATCTCAACAACATATATATATATATATATATATATATATATAGAGAGAGAGAGAGAGAGTGAGAGAGTTGTGTAATTGGGTAGTAATTCCTCTTTTACACACGTTTCAAAAGACAACTGAGAAGTTACTGCAATTAATTTGTCTTGTGCTTGTATACGTTTTGTTGTTTTCTTGATATAAAATGTATAAAAACTGTCCAAATGTTTTATATATCCGAGTACTTTCGGCGATTCTATAACGATTATCATGGTTATTTTTATGCTTTAACTGTCTATTTAGATTATTTATATGTGTGTATCTACAATGATAGGGATGTTTTTATTTTATTTTGTATCACCGTGAACCAATATATTTTATTAATTTACAGGCCCCATAAGGAACTGCATTCTTGATCAAACTAAAATGAATACTTATATTGGACATACAACTACATCCCTATCAAGATAGCTCACATTACATATCCCTGAGAACAGCTCAATTAACAACGATTTATACACACACGGGAACCTATCACACTCCGTTCGCGACATACTCGTATAAAATACAAATATAATAGCTTCATCCACATGTAGAAATAGGTTAAAAATAATGAAAGAATCT